CGACAACTGGCAGGTCGGGCAGCACGTCCATATAGCAGGCACTGGGCAGTGGTGGGCTGGCAGTGGGTTCGGGGCCAAGATCGTTGACGTCCGCAAGTCGGACGCTACGGTGAAGGTCCGGTACACAGATGGCGGCTTCAAGCGCTTCAAGGTAGAGGAGTTCGCTGCGCTCGTCTCTGAGCAGCAGGCAGCACACGTCTCCGTCTTGTCTCCTCTTCGCCTCCTCCTCCCCACCACCCCTTCTCATTCTCTTCATCGTCCCTCTCTCCTCCTCGTCGTCTCCTCTAAAGGAGGACCCAGGCTTTTCTCATCCTGCTCCTCTTCGTTCTCCCAGTCTGCTTCCGCTTTCCAGCTCTCGCACCTCCTCGCCCTCTTCTGGGGCGGGCCCCGAGCGATCTGTGTGAGGTCGAGCGTGTTCACTGACTGACAACAGTGCCTTTCGACATGTTATTATTGTTGTGCTGCTCCTCCTCCTCCTCCCTCCTCCTCCCTCCTGCTCCTCCTCCTCCTCCTCCTCGGTAGATGATGCAGGACAAGTCTTAGGCATTGTGTCTCGGCTCGTCCCCCCCAAACGCTATCCCCAGGCAGCGCCAGCAGCGGAATCGGCCATGTTTGCCAGTCTGTCCAGCTTGCGATGCGTCAGACTTTTTCACTGGTCCCCAGCTTGTGCAGGAACATTGTTCGTTGACTCGCTGCGACCAGCTCTCGCCCAAGAGGAGGTACAGCGGTTTTCTTCTGCCCTGCCTTGTGAGGAGGTCCGAGGCTTGCACGACGTGCAAGTCCATCAGTCGTTGGATGATTTGACCTCACCGCGCGGCAAGATTTGCTGTTTGGAAAATCACTGGCCCGACATTGGGACCAAGAGAGCCTCTGCGGGAAAAGGGCACATACATGTCGGTATACATTACCAGTGGCGGGCTGTTTTTCAATGCCAAGACTGTTCGAGGGTCGGAGACGACGTCGGGGTGGTGTGGTGTATACTCGTTCCCTCGCTTCGCCTGGGAAGCATCGAAAATATATACACCAGGATCGCGTATACACCAGGACCCGTTTTCCCGTGCGAATGTCAGTGCGGGGCCGGAAGAAGCTTGGGTGTATACATTATAGAGAGAGAGAGAGTTCTTTACGGAATGGACCTGAGGACTCTCCAATTCGTGCCTCACGGCACGGTGGCGGCTATACGTGCATATATAAATGTGTGCATGTATACATTATATATAAACATGTTTGCGGAGAGGGTGTCTGACAATAGTGCAGAGCCAGATTTGAGGGCATATCAAGTAAACATCGATCATTTGCAGATATATGATGTACAACAGAGAGAAACAGAGCGCCCGAGAGAGATATTGAGCTACATATATATATATATATATATATAGAGAGAGAGTGCGATATAAACATGTATATAGGAATATACACAGAACGAGACACAACAAAGAGAGGGCAGCTGTGGCGTGCGTGCAAACATGTCCAGAAATCCACTGGTTGAGTTCTTCTCCACTGTCATTTATCTCTACTCCTATCTTTATCCCTATCTATCTGCCGCTATCCCAACGCCAATCCGTATATCCTTCTACTCTTAGCCGTATCAACTTGCCCCTATCCTCATCTCTACCCCCCCCCCCATCGTGAACTGCCATCGTGGCCCCCAACGTAGCTGTGTAAAGCTGCTGTTGAGGGTCTGCTGCTGCAAGGGTGTCATTTGGCAGTGGGGTGAAAAGGCCCGACGAAGTTCATCAGGTATCATAGCTAGGGACCGATTTGCAATGGCCGACAAGCGAAGAGACCCGAGGCCATTGTGGAGCGTGACGTATGGTGTTTATGTAATAAGCAACTCCATCGTCGTCGGCGTCGTCATTGCCCTCCACCTCCTTTTCGTTCCTCTTGTCATTTCTTCATTCATCCGTTCACTCTCTTCCTCCTCTTCATCGTTCTCTTTCTCCTGCACCCCCTGTCCTGAGCAGCAGGCAGCGCCCGCGATGTGGGAGGAGTGGCACAGCGCCTCCCAGGAAGGCGAGGTCTCGGAGCTGCGCCGGTTGCACGACGGGGTGATGCTGGCGACCAGGACGTGAGGGCCGTGGCGGCCCTGTTGTTTTGCCCCAATCCCTCCTGTTTTCCCATGTTTTCCCATCGGTTTTCCTGTTTCCCTCTCCCTTCGTTTCCTTTCTTTTCCTTCCCCCCTTTCTCTTTCTTCCTTTCTTTCCCACTTCCTTTCGAGGATCGAGGATATCCCTTCCCTTTTATTGTCTTCCTCTCTCTCTTCATATATATATATATATTTCCTTTCTCCCGCTCTCTCTTTCCTTCAGTCTCTCTCTCTTCCCCGTGCTGTCTCTCTCGACGTATGTCCACCTCTTACTTGTACATATGTATCAGTGTTCCCTTCCCTGTCTTCCCTAACACACAAATATCAGTCCTTCATCCCTTCCCTTCTCTCTTATGCGTATTTGTTATGTGTCCCTCGACCTTTTGCCCGACTTCGAACGGGAATGATTAATACAATCACAAGAGCCGTTCCCAGTCCACCAAATTGCGAGACGCATCGATGAGGCCCTGCGGCTTCCGCAGCACAAGCATCACCAACAAGCACTATGAACGGGCCAAAACACAGAGCATGGGCGACGGATCCACGGAACCAGCGGCAGACCGAAGTGCAGGGTCCCTCGTGGGACCCGCCGCGATCTTCATCAGCCTCGGCGCCGCCCATGTGGTCGGCGCCCGCATCCCTCGCGCCCACCAGGACCGAGGATGGAAACGCATGTCAGCAGCATCTCGCTGCACACGTACGAAGAGGGCGAGACATTGCGCCAGCGGAGCCCGCACCAAAACGCCCCATATCGCACTGGCCGTTCTCGACAAGTAAGTGCTGGCCGTTGCCGACCGTAAGAAGAACGACCACGGCGCAGGCCTGGCCACAGCCATACCAGTGCTCAACTGCGGCGCCCGCGCTACCACGACCGTGGCGACCCACATCGACGACGCCGTCTACCAATTGTGCCGCACAGAGGTGGAGTGTCTTCCAAAGTGGCCCGCGTCACAACTCGACCCTTCTCATGACGCGACGTGCGTATGGGTTAGCCTGCACGAAACCGGAACTGCCGACATCTTTGCCGGCGCTCACGAACTTGTTCACCGCCCAGTTCTCTGGAGCAGCCCCCAGAAACGGAGGCCGCCACGGCAAGCCCGCAGACGCCAGCACTTGGGCAGGGCCCAGGACCGCTCCCGCAAACGCAGCGCCGACGTCATGTGCTCGACGAAAAACGGGCGGACGCTTTCATCCCCATCGTCCAGAGCCACTTCCGAGCTGTTAAGCCACAGGGGCCCTGCAAGCTCCTCGCACAACATGGCTCTGTCCCAAGCCTCGGGGCAAGGTGGGGTGATCTACGACCTGAGCGCCAGGGCGCTGAAAACAACAGGCTTGGCAAATTGTTATCGCATGTGCCCAGACGGCCATGGCACCACCCTGACGGCCGCCCACCATGCTGCCGTTGGCCACCTGGCTCTTGGGGCGGTAAAACAGGCGAAAGGCCTGCGGCAATTTGCATCCGCGTTCGCATAGACAACGATACGGCCATCAACGCCGCCACGGCGATTTAAGGTAATGACGCCGCGCTCGCCACGCAATGGCGCCGCATCACGGGCATCGAGCCGCCCTGGGCCACGAACGCACAAGTGGGCAAGGTCCTTCACGCCACCAAGTGGGCCTGCGAGGTCTAGTGCGCTGGGCGGGGCCAGTCCGCCGCCTCCCAGTTCGCCTTGGCAGGGGCCGCCATCCGCCGCCAAACGACACGGCACGGTCTCAGTAAATGGACGCGTTGTCCCTTGACCCGTCTTCGCGGCCATTGCGCAGGCGGTGGCCGTGCCCACCGAGACTCCCGCTGCTGCAATGGCCCCCAGAAGCCGTCGAGGCAAGGCCCTGAGAGGCACGGCGGGCTCCCCGCTCGCAGGGAGCCCCAGCCCGACATCTCCCAACCTCGTTGAAAAAGCAGCCAGGTCGACTTGCTCCGGCGCCCTGCTGGCAGGCGCCGCTGCCACGCACGGGGGCGCCCAGTGCCCGCCCGAGCCACCGCCGCAACGACGCAGCTCACCGCCGCCAGACGCGCAGCGCCCGACCTGCCCTGGCCGCAGGCCGCCGCCAGGCGGGGCTGCGAAGGCCGCCGCGCTGCGGGGGGCCACCCCCGCGGACTGCGGCCGCCACTTTGCCGCGGCGGCCCCGTTGCAAAGAGGGCCGTCGTCCTTTTTGGCCCCCGCAGCCTGGTCCTCGCGCAGCTGCCCCGCCGAGGGCCCAGCCCGAGTCGCTGTCGCAGGGCCGACGGCCGACGCCGCCGACAGTCGTCGCCGGCCCAATGAGGTGGCTGACGACATCACGGACGTCAACGCGGCCGCCGCGACCCGGCCATTCGCCCCCGCCCACTGCCCCCAGTCGCCGCGGCCCAACGATTGAGAAGGGCGCGCTGCCCAACGACCCGCGACCCACTTATGTCGCGGCGCCAGGCTGTGCGCAGCGGGCTCAGCCATCCGGGGGCCGGCGTTCGCAATCGCCGGCCGGCTTGGGTGGTGCGTTCCAGCGGTCGCCGGCGACCTGGCCCCCCGAACTTGCATTCGCGGCCCTGCAAGTTCCGAGCAACGCAGTAGCAGAATGGGCCCACCAGACCTCCCTCTCAGTCTGGCTGGCCGCGGGCTTGTCACGCGATGCTGGAGGGCTGCTGGAGCAGGCTCCTCACGTTCCAGCCGCTCCAACTTCTGGCAGAGCTGACCGACGAATGACACCGGCCAGAAAGACAAGGACCCGACCTTGCCCTGCGCGGCGAGCCCGCCCCCGTCATTCGAGGAGCTGCCTCCCCGCGCCGCCGCCAGACATGTCGACGTCAGCGCAACCGGCGCGGCGCGGCCGCGACCTGGCCCTCGCGCCTCGCGGGCCGCGGCGCGGCGGCACGGCGGCGCAGCTGCTCGCCGCGCGCAGGCCGCCCAGCACCCTTGCCACCGACGACGGCGCCTCCCCGCGGACCTTCGCCCCAACCGCGGACCACCCTGGCGGGGCGAACGCGCTGAAGATGACCCCGCGGCCCCGTCGCCGACGACCTGGCGACCGCCGCGGGCGGGGGGATGCCCTGGCCGCAACCCATCGGCGAGGCCCGTCTAAACGCCGCCACGCGCGTGCCGCGCGCGACCGGGCTTCAAGTGTGAATCAGCAAGAGGCGGCCAGCGACTGGCGCGCGTCGCGCGTCCTATTCGCCATCGACGAACTGCTAGGATACAGCACCTACCGCGCCGCCCTGGTCGCCGCGGACGAGGCCGGCCAGCGGGCCCAGGGCGCGCGACGAGGCCTGGCGGCGCAGTTAGGCGCCGCGCGGACTCAGCGGCAGTCGCCTCGGGGCCTCGCCGTCAATGCCCGGAAACATGGCGCTGCGCCACTTCGCTGCAACCCCTGGGTGTCCCTGAACAGGCCGCCGCCGTCGACGCCGCGCTCGACGTCGCCGGCGAGGCGGCGCGCGACCTCGCGGGATATTTAGGCCGCGGGCGCGAGCCGCCGCCGCCCGACGCCCCGGCCGTCAATCAAGCGCGCCGCCCATCGCGGGCGCGAGCCGCGCTACAAATCGGGCCTCGCCGTCCCGCGCGCCAGCCCCGAGGCTGGCGGGGCCGGCCGACAGGCCCCGGCGCTTGGCGAGCTCCGCCGCCAGACGCCGGACCCGCGGAGATAAAGCCGTCGGGGAGGCCCTGGCGGCCTGCTTTGCGCGCAGCCAGCGTGGCCCCGAGCCCCGCCCCGGTCGGGCAGCGGGGCGCCACTCGGGCGGCGGCGCGTCGTCTCGCTGGCCGCGAGGGGCCCGCCGCGGTCTTCGAGAGACCGGCGGGCCGGGCCCGATGACCCAGCCCCGCGCGGCCGCTCGCGCTGCGCTCTCGCCCTCTGTCGGGGCCGACGTCGCCGAGCGCGCCCCCCGCCTGAAAGGCTTGCGCGCGCGAGCGGAGGCAGCGCGCGCGCGCTCTCGACGGATGGCGGGCCAATGCCGCGCGGTCTAAGGGCGCCGACACCTCGCGCGCCTGCTTCCTGCAGGCCCGCGCCGGGGCGGCGAGTCCACCGTCGACGCTGGCTCGGGCGCTTGCTCTGTGCATGGTCAGTGACTCCGACGGCGACGGCCCAGAACGCGCGGCCCCTGTCCGATCGGCTCGGGCCAGCTCCGCCCGTCGGACGCCGAGGCCGCGCTGCGCCTTGCGATCGACGCGCGGGGGCCCGCCCTGCCCAGACGCCGGCGCGGTCGGCGCTCCGAGCCATCCCTGCCAGGGCCGCCTTCCGCCGCGAGTGCGCCGAAACTTCCCGCTGAGGTGCCGAGCTGATCTGGCGCATATGTCCTCGCCGACGAAATCCTCGCCCGCCCTGTCTGGGCCCGACCCGGCAAACGCGCCGGCGGCCTTGAAGAGCCCGGCCGCGCGGGAAGCCGAGGGCCCGCCGACGCAGGGTTATTTGGAGGGTCGCGCGCGTCTTGCCAAGCGCGGCTCGCAAGCTCCTGCGATCGCGCCTGAACCCTTCTCCCACGGGCGCAAACCGTGCCTGCGAAGAGACAGGGGGCCCCCGCGGACCAGCGCCGCGCGTCCGCGATGGCCATCTGGGTGCATGCCCGGGAGGCGCCCACCTATCGCAGCCTCGGCGCTCGGCGCAAGCGGCGGGCCCCGGCGGGCCCTCGCCGCCGGCGTCGGCGCCGCCCCGCGCACCGCCAGCGGCGATGTTAACGCTGCGCTGGTCCTCCAGTTCGAGTGCGCCCGACGCATCCCGGCAGAGATGATTCGATTGCGCCTCATCGTTGACGTCGGCCTGGAGGTCGCTCTCCGCGCGGGATGCCTTGTGGGCATCGTCGCCGCGAAGCGAACATTCTACAGTGGCCGCGTCGGGTACATCCGCATGGCGGGCTCGTGCTCGCCGCCCTTGGCCCGCGCCTTCGGGCAGGGTAGCTCGTGGCCCTTGGGCGACGTCGAGCTGATGGTGTGCGTCTGGACCAACGGACAGCGCAGGGTCACCTTTCTTGGCGAAGGCAACTCCACGGCGCCCGCTGCTGCTGTGCTCGACCCTTCCATGCGCGAGACCGTGCGCCTCGATGGTGTTTCGCATCAAAAGACACACCCTGGCAAACTTGTCGGGTTGACCCGGAACCCAGCCCTCCTCGGCCACGGTGCAGCCTTCCCCAACGGCGCTCCTTTCCGCGGTCAGTATATGACGCCGTTGGTCGGATCCTGCGTCGACGTTGCCGACGCCCGTGTCCGCAGGGCACGAGCTCGACTCCCGCGCGTTGCCCGACTGCCAGGGGGCGTGGACGGTAAGGCTGAAATAATCGTGGGCACCGACGTGCAAGCCTCCTGCGCAAGACGACGGGCCGCCTTCGGCAAAGTTCTTCGCTGCCTTCAGGCGACGTGGCCGAGCGCGGACGTCTTTCGACGCGATGTTCGCTGCGCGTGTCTCTGGACAGGGCGGGATTGACCGAGCGCAAGCGCAAGCGCAAAGGCCCCAGACTCCGACCGCAGAGGCGCCCCGTACCGGGCCGGTGCACCAGCGGCCGCCCGACGACCCTGACGACCATTGGACCATTGGGCTGGCCAATGGCCCGATTCAGATAAAAAAAGACCCGTTCAATCTCGGAGGCAACCATGACCCGAGCAACGACGATGACGGCGCCGATGCTGGTGCCATCGCCACCCGTGCTCATGTCAGCCGCGCCCCTGCTCGAGCCCTCTCCCAGGGGCAGCCCCTCCGGCGCCCTCGTTGCCGCCTGGGGCGGCGACCCCCCAGGCTGCGACGACGAGGGCGACCCCCCCCCTGCGGGGCGGAAGCATGTCCACTGACGACGAGCGCCCAGCTGGGTCGGCGCTGCGGCAACCAAGCAGCGGCAGCGCCCACGCCACCGACCCGCCTCCCCGGTCACCCCGACCGCGGACCAGGCCGCCACCCACGGCGCCGGCATTGCGCCTGGTCAGCCTGCCGGCGCGGCGAATCCCGCTGCGGCGACGAGGCCGACGGCCGCGCGCCAGCGCGCACCTCCCGCCACGTGGCGACCAACCGCGCCTACCCCCCTGGCCAACCCAGGGGCCTCCGCGGTCCCTGGAGCCACCGAGCGCGTTCCACGATTCGCAAAGTGCCTACTCGCAAACGCCCGAAAACCACATGTCTTCTTCGATGCAACTCATCGTGGATCCCCCTCGGCGGATCCAGGCCACTCGCGAGCAACTACTTTGCGAGTAGTGGAACGCGCTCGTCGATGGAGACTGGCGGACTGCCACTTCTAGGCATCTCGCCGCTGCCGCCGCGGCGGCCCCGAGCGCGAGCCCCGCGCCGCAGCGCGCGGTGGCTGGCCGCCCTCGAGCACCAGAGTGCCAGGCGGGGCTCGGCGCGCCGCGCTGCCGCCCAACGTCGCCCGCCACCTCTCCGGGCCTCCCGGGGCGCGGGGTGGGCAGCCAGGACAGAGAAAGGAGAGGGGCAGAGAAGAGACCGCGCGCAAGAGCGAAGAGAGAAAGAGAGAGAGAGGGAACAAAAACAAGAGAGAGAACCAAGAGAGATAGAGGTCTTTTTGGGTGTTTCTTTATTTCTTTCTTTCTTTCTCTCTCTCTCTCTCTCTCTCTCTCTCTCTTCGTTGTTGTTTATCACTCTGTGTCTCTCTCTCTCTCTCTCACTCCGCACTCTATCTCGCTCTTTCTCTCCCTCTCTCTTCGTTAGTTGTCCTATTTCTGTCTCTCTTTCTCTCTCTCTCTCTTTCTCTCTCCCTCCTTCTCTCGGCGGTCCGAGAGTGGGGTACGGAGGTGTGCTGGAGCGTCCAAAGGCTGAGGCTTTAACCAACCGTTCTGGCAATGATGGTTCCATGGAGGGTTCCACGGGTCCGGCAATTTCATTGCATGTGGCGCATGTTGCACAGCATTGTTGTTTGCAGCGCGCTGCTTTGCATTACCATGCGTTGCGCAACCTACGATTTTGCATGACGTTGGATTGCACTTGCGCTGCTATCAAAATATATGCTCCGCGTTGCAGTCCATTACGCTGCATTTGTCTTTACTGCACGGCACTGTTACTGGGTGCGTAATGCTTCGCCCAGCGCTATTTGTTTCGATGTATTGCTTGGAGTTTCTTTGATTTGCTTTGCGTTGCATTGCATGCAGCTGTTGTCCCATTGGTCAGGGATCGGGGATACGTAAGACTCGAGTTTGCGGGAACTCTGCTTCGTCGCTTTTTTTGTCATGGTCCTTACGTGAATTTGGACGATCCAATTTTCGTGAGATGTTTGCAGGGGGAGTTCGCGACAAATTTCATCGTGGGTCCCAGGCAAATCCGAGTTCCAACAAATCGAATTTTACGTCTCCCATACTTGTTCAGGTTTGCATTGAAAGTCGGCATGGTGGTCAAGAGTTCGGTACACGCACGCATTGCATTTGATGACTTCGCATGTCATCCCTGTTGTAATTGTCAGTCCCATTCAGCTTGCTTTGTCAATTAACATGAAGTCATGTGGGGCGCTCCGAACAGGGCCTTGCCTTCGAGGATCGAAGGAAATGTCATCTCTTCCTCGCCGGAAGGCGGCGGAAGGGCGACGAAAGCTGGCAGAAGTAAAACGAGGCCGTCTCCGCCAGCAGAAGGCGGCGGAAGCCGGCGGAAGTCAAAAGATGCGCCCCCGAGAGATGGAAACGTTTTTGGGTTCAGAGTTTCCGGAATTGGCCATCCAGTCTGTCTGGGCATTTCTCTTTTCAGAGCAGGCCGACCTGGGATTGCACAGGTTCAGCACTGCTTCCGGAGGGTTTTTTGTGGCCTTGCTTGACCCCTGCCGCTTGGAGTGGTGGAGGCACCGCGGGTCTAAGAAATCATCGGGAGTGCATCCACAGTGAACATCGGCGGCCAGCCTGGGGGGGGGGGAAGCGAGAGGGGGCGGGCCTTCTCAGAAGGCTCGGAAGTCCTCCGGCCTTCTGGGCAGTTTTTTCAAGCCTTCCCCGAAGACTCAGAAAACCTTTTCAGAAGGCGGGAGGCCCTTCTGAGAAGCCGCGACGCCTTTGAGGAGGCTTTCTCCTTCCGATTTCCCCCCTCGCTCGCCGCCGAGACCAGATTGGCCTGGATTTGATTGCCAGATCTGAAGGGGCTGCTCTACCATATTAACATAGTGGGCTGGCATCTCGCCTCGCCTTCATCTCGAGTTGGTAGGTGGAAGATCCGCTTGAGCTGTGGGCGTAGAGAGCAGGTGGTCTTGATTGCGAAGGAAGGCCAGCAGAAGCTTGGTGGGAGCGACCATTGGTCTTTGAGAGAGGTTGGCGCTGATGGTCCCAGGGTTTTCAGAGTTGACCATCATTATGCATGATGTTTTCGTGGCACCTCAGCACCTCTGGGTTTCATACCAGGTGCCAGCGGATCCATGTGCTTGCTGGGCTGAAGGAGGGACTTGTGTAGTGGGATGTCTTATCCCCGAGCGTGACTAGATGCAAACGGGCTGGGTATGGTTCATCCAGCTGGCCCTCCTATTCGTCCTCTTGCTCGTCCTCCTCCCCTCGTGCTCCTTGCGTTATGTTTGCTTTTGCATAGTCGTACTTCCATGCAGGAAGGGGGACCTGGAGTACGCCGCAGAGCTCAAGGAGAAGTTCGAGGCGCTCGCAACAAAAGAGGACGCGCTCCAGTCACTGCGCTCGCTGCTCGTGGAGGCTGTTAACCGCGGTGACTACATAGGGGAGCAACGAGTATGCGCCTTCGTTCCTCTCCCCTCCTGCAGGCCCCCTTCCCCGACGCACGGTGGGGGCGTTGGTTAAGGAATGTGCCCAGGAGGCTTCAGACCCTGGTGGGCTCCTTATGTGATAAGGGCAGCGGTGGGATCCATGGCCACTTCACGGTGGTATCCAGACCCTGGATTCTTTATCTAAGGGTTCTTCATACAATGCCCTCACCGTATTTTACCCTCCATCGTCTCTCTCTCTCTCTCTCTCCCTCTCTCTTTCTCTGTCTCCCGTTCTTGCATGTCTCCCGTTCGGTTGACATGTCTCTGCGGTTGTATATGATCGAAGATGCCAATCGCGAATTACCGCTGCCCCCTGCCGTTTGGAATCGACCATGTGGCCGAACGTAGCCAGAGCTCTGCCAAGCTATCGTACCATGCGTTTCCCCAATCATTGTGGAAACCCTTCGGGGAACACTCGGGGGAGGATGGCGGGTCTGACGCCGTCGGACGCCGTCTTGGGGGGCATCTGTGAACCGACTTGGGGCCCTTTTGGGGTGCTACTGGGCCGTCGTGGACGCCATCATCTTGGAGGCCTCTCGGGCCCTCTTGGAGCCCTCTTGGGGCGTTTTGGGGCCCCTTAGGCCGTTCTGGGGCCATCTTGGGGGCCTTTTGGGCGATCTTGGGGCGATCTGAGGAGCCTCTTGGGCCTTTTCGGGCCGTCGGAAGGCCGAAAAGAAAAACCTACAGACAATCAAGGAGTTTGGCCTCTTCAGGCCTTCTGGAGGCCCTCTTGGGGGCCTCTTGGGCCGTCTTGGAGGCCTCTTGGGGGCCTCTCGGGCCATCATCGGCCCCACCAGGGCCAGGATACTACTATGAACTGAGTGATCCCTCACTGCAACCATGAAGGTGACGAGGAGGACCCATTCGGTCTGGGGGGGGGGGCCTCTCGACGACGACGATGACGACCTCCCCCACACACCAGGCCGCCACGACAGCGATGGCCACGGCGCGGACGAGGACAGCCCACCTCCACGCCTGAGCAGGCGCGCGACGAAAGCGACCCACGAGGTGGAGGCCCGCAGGGGCGAACTGACCACGCGAGAGGCAGCGCGGGCCCCACCAGCCCCCCCCCCTGGCGCAGCCAGCCGCGACCGCGGGCACGCCCGCGGCGGAAGAGCGCCCTCCGCCGGGGAGTCACCCCTGCGCATATGAGCGGCGAGGCGTCGCGGACCGCGCCCACCGGGCCGGCGCCGTCGCCCCCGCCCGCTGCGCGGGCCAGTGCTGCGGCGCAGCCGGCCCCCCTCCCCAGGACAGTTCTGCCTGCCACCAGGCACGCCCCCTGCCCACCGGTGGCCCGGGTGCGGGCAGCACCCGCTGGGGCGCCCGGCGCCCGCTCGCTCCCTGGCGCGCCGTACGTACGGACCAGAGGGGTGCCCTCACGCAGCGCGCCGCTGCCGGGCCAGGCCACGGCCTTCGCAGGACTGCAGAGCCGCGCTCGCCGCAAGATCAGGGCGCCTCGGCAACGTGATCCAGCCTCGCACTGACCGCATAGCATCCAGGAGCCGTCCACCTGTCTTCCGACAGGTTCCACGGAGCACAGTCCGCCTGGAGTGACCTCCAACAGGCCTTCCGCACGCTTGCCCTCCGGAGGGCCACCCTCCGGGAGCGTCTCCGCGCGCGACTTGCTGCTCACCGTTAGCGCGCCAGTGCTGGCTACCTCCTTCCTTTAGCATGTCTTGGTATCGCTCGGACGTGTGCACTTTTTCTCGGCGGGGATTATTAAGGAGCATCCTGGATCATCCTGCGAAGAAACCACGCACGAAACCGAAAAAACACGGGGAATGGACGCCCGAGCGATGGCAGGATGTCGCGCCCTGCGAAAGCTCCTGGCAGCCAGCTCCGCTGTCCCGGCACGTGGCCGCCGAGGGGGATGCCCCCCAGGGCATAAACATAAGAACTCGGAGGTCCGCGCGGATTTCTTGGATCCGCGCTGGGGCCCCCCCCCTGGACGGGCCTAGTTTCCACCGCCGCCACCATAAGTTGGAGGGGGGAAGGAGGTGGAGGATGAGGAGGAGGAAGAAGAGGAGGAAGAAGAGGATGACCCCCTCCTCTCCTACTTAGGGTGGTGGTGGTGGGAAACCAGCCCACAACCCCTGGCGCGCGGAGCGCGCCAGGGGCGGCGCCGGGGGAGCCGCCAGAGGGGCTCCAGCGCCGATCCGAGAAATCCGCGCGGACCTCCGGCTTTTCGTGTGTGTGTGTGTGTGTGTGTGTGTGTTTGTGTGTCATTGTTCGTTGCCCTAGGTCACCACAGCCCGCCAGCTTTTCCAGCCGGAGTCTGTTGTTCGACCTCGCCGCGCAAAGGGGGGGAGGCTTTCGCCACCCCTGCCGTTTGCATATGCGGCCCCTCCCGCCAGCGAGGTGCGGGCGGGAGGTGCCGGTGCCCCTCCGGCCGCGGACGAAAGCTTCGTCCGAAGTGTTTTTTTTTTTTCTTCTTCTTTTTTGTTTTCTCTCTCTCTCTCTCCCTCTCTCTCCTCTACCTTCCGTGCTCGTTCTCTACTCTTTTCGTTTGCTCTCCGCCTCTCTCTCTCTCTTTCTCTCGTTCTGCCGCTCCGCCTTCTCCCGTCGGTCCTCTCTACCTTCTCTCTCTCTCTTCTCTCTCTCTCTCTGCCCCTCTTCCCCCGCCTCTTCCTCCCATGGGGGGGGGCGAGGCAGGCAGGCGCCTCCTCGCTGCTCCCCGCGCATGGAGGCGCACAGGCTGCAGGCCCTCCTCGTGGAGAGGTCGGGCAGCCCGGAGCTGGCCGGCCCCCCGCAGCTCGCCGCGGGGGGCGCCGCGCGCTCGGCGCTCGGCCGGGCCCTGCACCAGTTGGCGGTGCGCAGAGGGGGGTATGGGGGAGGGGGGAGGGCTTCTTAGAAGGAGGCTGCTTCTCAGAAGGCGCCGGCCTTACACTTGTAGACAAGGCCCGCGCCTTCTCAGAAGCAGGGGTGCTTCTAAGAAGCCTTCCCCCCTCCCCTATACCCCCCTGTGCGCGCCGCCAAACCAGAGCCTGGACAGCGCCCTCAGCGGGGGGGTCGCGGGCGCCATCGGGGGGAGCAAAAGCGACGGCGCAGGCATGCGAGCCCGGAGGTCCGCACGGATTGCTCGATGATCCGCGCTGGGCTCCCCCCCCCCTGGAGGGGCCCCGTCTTCCACCGCCACCACCAGAAGCTGGAGGGGGGGGGAGGTGGAGGAGGAGGAGGAGGAGGAGGAGGAGGAGGAGGAGGAGGAAAAGGAGGAGGAGGAGGAGGAAGAGGAGGACGAGGAGGATGACCCCCTCCCCCTCTCCTACTTGTGGTGGTGGTGGTGGTGGTGGTGGTGGGAAACAGGCCCACCACCCCTGGCGCGCGGAGCGCGCCAGGGGCGGCGCCGCAGGCGCCGCCAGGGGGGTGCAGCGCAGGTCTTAGAAATCCGCGCGGCCCTCCGAGTTTTTGTGTTTATGTCAGTCTTAGTTCCCCTAGCCATGGCCATGTCGTTGCAGATCGGGTCCCTGATGTGGCTGCGGACGACGATGAATTACCAGTACAGGTACGGCATGAGCATGCGCCAGGCCTTGTCCACCCTCTACGCTGAGGGCGGGGTACCCCGTTTCTACCGCGGCCTCGGCCCAGCACTTCTCCAGGGCCCGATGCTGCGATTCGGAGACACCGCCACAAATGCTGGGGTGCTTGCCTTGTTCGACAACATGGACATGGGCTGGTGCCCTACATGGTTTAAGACGCTGTTCACCCGTTCCACGCATTCCGACGGCCCAGCAAGCAACACACGTGTGGAAATGCGCTGGTGTGCAGAATGCCCAGTTGGGGGCACGTGCGTCTGCTTCGGCGTGCGTGCAGGAGTGCATGGCTGCGTGTGTCGTTCGCTGGAGTGGGTAAGCCTGCATGCGCCAACGCTTCTGAGGACCGTCTCCAACCAAGCCCACGTGTGAGCCCTCAGCCTCTTGGAGCTCTCCCGGGGTCCTGGAGCTCTCCTGAGCCCCTTGGGGTGACCCCGTGGGATCTCTCGGAAGCATCCTCGGTCGTGACGCCTGGGATTATCGTGGGCCTCTCACGAGTCCCTCATGTTTGCTGCCTTGTCTGGCGCATTCTGGCGCGCCCTCTTGGAGTTTCTCGGGAAAGAGTTGCGGCAGCCCTGGCTCCTTTTGGGATGGTCTTGGGGCAGTCCGCGGGCGTCTTGAACCTTGGGCGCGTCGTGGGCTCTGGGGGGCCTCTCGTCGCGCCCAGGGGTCGCCCGAGGCGGCCCCGACATCCACCCTCGGGGTGTCCAGTCGGCATCGAGCGGAGTCGTCTGTGCGACTGTTGTGTGTGCGCGGACATGTGGGCACGGCGTGTGCGAGCGTGCGGGCTGTCTTGTACAGACATGGCTGCGCGCATGCCGGTCATGCTCGGCGGTGAGTGGGTCTGAGCTGCATTCTTGGCGGTCACCCATCTTCTCTTGCCTCTGCCTCCCCCCATCCGTCCGTCCACTCCTGTCTTGCATCCTCGGGGCGGGCCGTCATTGCAGTGAGATGGATGTTCTGAATTGTGGTGGGCAGCGTTGGGCTAATCTGCACTGGCATGGGCTGAGCCGAGATGAGCTGTGTTGACTTGGAGTGAGGTCGATCGAGCTGGAGTGAGCTGGAACTGGGCTTGATTGAGTTGGACAGAGCATGGCTGAAGTGCAACAATTTGGGCTGCGCGTTGCTGGGCTGAGCAGAGATCGGCTGCGTGGGGCAGAGCTGGGCTGATCCTGACTGAGCTGGAATGAGCAGGGGGCCGAGATGGCTAGGTCCAGACAAGGCTGAGCTGAGCAAGAATGAGTTTGCTGGAGCTCTATTGACCTTGGCTGAGCAGGGGTGGGCCCGACCGAGATGGGCGGAGCTGACAGATCTGGGTTGAGCTGGGCTGGCCCTGACCAAGCTGGATGGCTGGGATGAGCGTGACTGGACAGGACGGAGCTGCCGCTCAGCTTGTCTGGGGTGGGCTGAACTTAGCTATGCCGAAAAAGCTGAGCTGTTGAATTGGCTTGTGCTGAGCCAGGCTGTGCTGGACTGGACTGGAACAGTTCGGACTTCTCGGCGTTAACTTGGGGCTCTTCTTGGTGACCATGTGTGGGCACTCTGGGGAGCGGGTGGGGCTTTCTGGTGACTTCTTGATCAGCATCGGGGGCGATGCGGACGTTTTTTTCTGTGGCGGTTCTCGGCTGTCTCGGAGCCGCGGAGCGTTGTTGGATTCTATTTGGCTGGTTGAGGGCTGTCTGCGGGGCAGCCGGGGGCCGTCTTCTCGAAGACATCATTTGCTAAGGCGGGCGGCGAGGTGAAGCCATCCTAAGCCGTTCTTGGGCTTCTGGGGTCTCTGGGGGGCCTTTGAAGGTCCTCTTGTGACATGTTGGAGCCCGTCGGAGATCTTGGGCCGTCTTAGGATTCCTCGTGCCCTCCCCCAGGGTTGTCTTCGTTCCCCTTTACACCCGCCTTGGGGCGGTCTTGAGGTCATCTTGGGGCTGGCGGGGGGGCCATTTGGGGCTGTCTTGGCCCGTGGCCGTTGCCAGGCCGTCCGGAGCTGTCGAGCGGCCGTCTTCAGGCCTTGTGACAGCCACCTTGGGCGACGAATGGCGTTACGGCGACAGCTTCCCAAAGCAGTTGTTCGGAACGTTTTCGGCCGCAGGGGGGGTTCCCCCAATCAGTGGAAACACCCCGACGGTCGAATCGCGAAGGACGTTAAGGTCCTCCGTCCCCAATCGTGACCTCGCTCTGCAGTGTCGTCTTGCAGCCCAGAACCCGAAATATTGGGAGCCTAACTCGCCGTTGGCCCAGTTGGCTGGTGAATTTGCGTCTTCGCTTGCCGCGACTGGGCGCATTGCTCTGCTTCCAGTGGACACGTTGAAGGTAGTCATGCAGGTAGAGGGCAAGAAGGGCATCCCCACCCTTCTGGCAAAGTGGAACCGCAGCGGCGCAAGAGTGCTCTTCCACGGAGGGGTTGCCTCGTCTGCCGCCACGTTTGTCAGCCATTATCCCTGGTTCACCGTCTTCAACATCTTGAACGACAGGATCCCCAACTACAGCGAGCGGCCGTGGCAGCTTGCGCGGAACGCGGGCATCGGGTTCTGCGCGTCGGTCTGCTCCGACACCGTGTCCAACTCGCTGCGGGTGATGAAGACGTGCCGCCAGGCGGGCGACCTGGGCTACGGGGCCATCGTGCAGAAGGTCATCAAGGCAGACGGCGTGGGAGGTTTTTTTGTCCGCGGCCTGGCCACGCGGATCACCGCCAACGGGATCTCAGGGATCGCGTTCTCGGTGCTGTACAAGTCGTTCGAGGAGCAGCTGGCGCGCTAGCCCCGCTGCGCCCAGCTCGCGGCGGCCTGCCGCGCTCCACAGGTGAGCACGCGTGGCGACGTGGTCGCATGCGCCAGGCAGGCCAGAGCGCAGAGTGAATGAGAGCGCTGTTAGTCGTCGTTATTTCCTCCCCAGGGTAACGGTCGTTACCTGGGCCAGCCTCCCCCCCGCCCCTTCCCCCTGGGTCACGCTAACGATCGTGAAGGTGGGGTGGCCTGGACCCCCCACCCCCCACATGCTGTGGTGCACACACGCGATTGATGCGTCGGTGGCGCGGACTCCCTGGCGGGTGCACGCCGCGGCCGCCGTTGCCGTCCCCCCCCCGCCCGAATCCTCCCCCCAGGTAACGACCGTTGCCGGAGAAAGGAACAAAAAACCGGTCACAAACGTACGCGATTGTGTTGACCCTTTTTGTTTCTGTCGCGTGTTTGTCGTGCAGGCGGGTTCCCCATGTGTAGATCTAAGAGCTGCACCTGCTGTCGCTGGCCACCACGTCCGTCGTCGCCAGGTCGAGCCGTGAGCGCAGTCGTTCGTGTGCCTGCCTCTTTCAGGGTCCACTCTGCCCACCAGAGCCCCGCGGGGTGCTCTGCGCGAGAGCTGGACTCGGAGCATCACCTCCCTCCAGCGGGCACAGCTCCTGGGAGTGTGCGCAGGCCCGGCGGCTGGCGCCGCCGACCCTGCAGGCGGGATTTGCCCCCCGGGACCCCCGCTGGCGACCCCCCTGCCTGGACCCGCGGGGACCCTGGGGGGCGCGGCATTCTGACCCGGGACTTCCCTCCCCCCCCCCCCTCAAGGGACGAACGCCAGGGAAGGAACGCGAGGGAAGGAACGCAAGGGGAGGGATGGCCGCAGGGGAGTCGGCTCTCAACTACGACGTTCCTGTCCGTTGTTTTGCAAGTTCCCTGGGACTGGCGACGACGACGACGGCGGCGACGGCGACGGCGACGGCGACGGCGACGACGACTCAAACGGAAAACCGTCACACATTCCGAAGGGTCGGCGGATATATCCTTTTCCCTATCAGACCGGCCGGTCCTTGTCGTAACGGCGCCGGCCGGTCCTTGACGTAGTCCTTACAGGCGGTGCTTCGTCAAGCTCTTGCTTTCGCGCTTCTTCCCCGCAGCTGCCACGCTATCCTGTATAGTCTGCGCAGTCCTGTGAGCACCCAGGAGCCCTCCGATCCCTGACCTACAACAGAATTTCCCTATCAGATGATAAGGGTCTCCCCCCTCCCCAGATTGGCGACACCTGATTCGGCACCCTCCGACGAGCTCCAGACGACCTCTGGGGAGCCCTGAGACTTCCCGAAGACAGATTCAAAAACGGCCCTGGAGCGCTCCAAGAGATCCTGAAACTGCTGCACGACGGTTCGGAAGGACCCCAAGACGGTCCAAGAGGCTCTCAAGAGGACTTCCTTATCCGTTTTGGCTCAAGCAAGTCGGTGCCAGGTGATGTTGGCGTCAGTGAACTTCTGGCCTAAAGCCGGACAGTTGAGCGAGGCCCCACCTTCTTTCGGCAAGCACCTCATACATTTCGTGGCCCTGTATGGAGCTCAACCTCAGGCCTCTGTGGCAGCACCCTCATGGCGGCCTCGCCCCATGCCGTCACACCGCTCACGCGCTTGCGTGGCCCCCCGCACGGCGCTCCCCCGCAGGCCCCCGGCGGCAGCGCCCGCGAGACGGCCGCCCCTCCCTGGATCGACGCACCCGTCGCACGTTTGGAGGCTGATGTGTTGTTGGATCCCCAGCTCCCGATCTATTTCTAGCGCCTTCCCACCTCAAGAGTCGGCATGGCCTTGATGTGCGTTTTGTCACCCTCCGTGGGGGGGGCCTGAACCCAGTCCGTGCTATCCGCCTTCCCCCGGTATTGCGGCGAGAACCATCGAGGACCATCCTGGACCATCGAGCCAAAAAAAAACACGCACGAAACCGACAAGTGCACGCGGAATGGACGCCCGAGCGACGGCAAGCTTCATGGCTTACCCACAGGAGGAGAAGGAGGGGGTGGAGGAGGGGGAGGGGGGGAGGAGGAGGGGGAGGAGGAGGGGAGGAGGAGAAGGAGGAGGGAGGAGGAGGCGGAGGAGGAGGAGGGGAGGAGGCGGGGGAGGACGAGGAGGAGGAGGAGGAGGAGGAGGAGGAGGAGGAGGAGGGGGAGGAGGAGGAGGAGGGGGAGGAAGAGGAGGAGGAGGAGGAGGAGGAGAGGAGGAGGAGGAGGAGGAGGAGGAGGAGACCGACGCGCGAAGGGAGATCCCCCGCAGGGCCCCCGTGGCAGCGCCCGCAGGGCGGCACCCGCCTCCACCTTCGGCGCACCCCCCCCCGCGCGCGCGCCGCGGCCCCGCAGCGGGGCGCTCCCCCCCCGCCGAAGGGCCCCGGGGCCGGCGCCCGCACGGAGCACCCGCCTCGGGGCCCAGGAGACGGGGGTCAAGGCAGACGGGGGCCAGACCCCCGACGTCATGATCGCAGGCCTAGAGGTTGACACCAACACCAAGATCGGCGTTGTTCTTCCACCGAGGCAGTGGGGACCCCGATCTCGGTGATGGTGGTAATACTCTGGCTTCCAAGGTGACCGAAATATTACCACCAACACCGAAATCTAGGATCATCTCCCCCCCCTGTGGAGGCAGCCCCCTGTCTTGGTGATTCTTTATTTTTTCGTCGGCCCTCAGAGGTCTCGACCCACTCCCCGGGACCGGACCGGTCCTTCGTCCTGAGTCGTTTCTTGACGGCCCCGAGGCCCGGCAAGGGCCCCCAGAGGCCGAACATCGAGGCACAGACTTCCGTCGCCATTTTTTGTTTCGCGGCGCGAGGGGGTCTCGGTTAACCCCGCGCCGCGACGACGACTGCACGCAAGAGTGACCTTTCGCCAGAGTGAACCTTTGGTGCGGGCACACCGGGGTCCCCATATGACTGGTCGCGATGCGATGGCAGCGGCCTGCGCGCTTGGGTCTGGCCCCCCCGCGCCCCCCAAAAGCTGCGCACCAAGGGTCACTCTTGCGCGCGCCCTCCCCCCCCCCCGGGCGCCGAATTTGGGCCCGGAGAATCCGAAGAGGAGGAGGATCGGGGCTCAAGAGACGGGGGTCAACAAACGGGGGTCAGCCAGGGCACCGGATCCTGCAGGATCCTGCGAAGACCCCCTTTAGCTGACCCGGGTTAGCGAGCCGCTCGTGGCCGCGAGGCGGCCGCGCATAGTGGCTGGCCTGGGTTTGCGAAGATCTGCGTTGCAGTTTTTGTTCCCTGCATTGCAGTTTTTGGTTTCCCTCTGACCCGGGTCTGGATTGACCCGGGTCAGAAGATCCCCGACCAATGCGGCGCTCTCCTCGCGCGCTTCGTGGCCCCCGCAAGGAGCCCTTCATTCGTTGTGGAAGTCCGTTCATGGAGAGGAAGCATGCTGCCAAACAATTTCCAGATGTCTAAAATATGGTTCAACCATGTTCCAAATGTGTAAAAACATGGTTGACACATTGTTAGAACATGCTTTACACATGCTAAGCACATGTTTCATTCAATGATGGGATTGTTAGAGTGTCCATTGTCATGGCATCCACAAGTGATTCGTCCCACCTGCGAGGTGTTCACTTTTTGCGCTGGCGGCTTGGCAGAATAACTGCGCTGGCGAAGGGCTACCTTAGCTTAGCGGGGGTGCCGTTGTAGCGAATTGTGCCAGGATGCAGGGGGAGGGGTCAGGACAGAGGAAGCGGCCGAAAGAGGGGGCGGGAGGGGAGCCTGCGAAGTGTTCACACGCGCATGTGGTGGGGCCCTTCGGCACGATAATGTGTTGCTTACGTTGCGGTTGTTGTTTTTCGCTGCGGCGTTTGCTGTTCTAGCTTCAGCTCAGGATTCTGCCAGCGAGGCGAGAGCGGTTCGGAGAGGTTTCTCGCTGATGCTGGCGATGCTCGACAATTGCGCCAGCATCGCCAGCATCACGATGAGGACGAGACAGACATCGCGGAGGAGCGGAAAGGCGAGGGAGAAAGGAGGGGGGGAAACATCAGCAGCAATCTCAGTTCTTGTGCCCCAGAGCATCACGAGGCGCTGGGGCACAAGATCCGCGTCGCCCCAAGCGATTTATAGCGCGTGGTGCGAGCGCACCTTACCAGCCTGGAACATATCCCTATCCCTATGCTGGGCATCTCCTCATCACGTTGCCAATCTTTGGGATTCCCTTGTTATTTGAGGGCGAATCCCTAAGATTGTCATCGCCTTTTGGCGTGTCAATCTTAGGGATAGGAATACGCTCGAGGCTGGTAAGCACCCAGCTTGCCCCCCCTCGCCTCTCCGTCCTCCCTGCCCCCTCCTCCCCACTCCTTCCTCGCCATGCCTCCCTCTCCCCCCCCCCCCTGCTGGCTGCTGCCCCCCCCCGCCCGGCCCCTCGAGCGCCGCCGCAGCGGCAGGAGGAGGGAGAGGAGGAGGCGCAGAGAGAGAGAGAGAGAGAGAGAGCACGGGGATGGGATCAGAGAGCAGCAGCGGCAGGCACGAGGAGCAGGCGCAGGAGGGCGAGGAGGAGGAGGAGGACGAGGAGGGCGAGGAGGACGAGGAGGAGGGGGAGGAGGAGGAGCAGGAGAGAGGGAGGAGGAGGAGGAGGAGGAGGAGGAGGAGGAGGAGGACGAGGGAGGAGGAGGACGAGGACGGGGGAGAGGAGAGGACGAGGACGAGGAGGAGAAGGAGGACGAGGAGGGGGACGAGGACGAGGAGAAGGACGAGGAAGACGCCCCCCTCCGCCAGCGACGGCGAGAACTGGGTGCGCGTGCCAACCCCGTGTGCCTGCCCTGAGGGCACCCGCGCTGCCTGCCACACCGACCCGTACCGGTAGCGGCGCCGGGAGGTCATCCTCTCTCTCTCTCTCTCTCTCTTTCCTGTTGCTCCTCCCCTTTTCTCCCCTTCTCCTCCTCCTCCTCCTCCTCTCCTCCTCCTCCTCCTCCTCCTCCTCCTCTTGCCTTCGATTCTCCTGCCTCTCCCTCTTTCTCCCTTTCCCTCTCTCCAGAGCACGCACACCCCAGCCCACGATTCTCAACCCTCTGCCCAGACTTCTAGAAGAGATGGTCGACCGCACGCTGGGGGCAGGCCCAGTTCAGGAGGGGAAAAACACACAGACACAAGTAATCCTCGATTCGCTAGAATATGGGAAAGTATGGGAAGTGGTGGGAAGGCAAAAACCCAGAACATATGCGAAAATACGGAGAATCTTCTTATTTGTGTGTATTTCTTTGTGTGTCCCAGGGCCCCTCCACCAGTCGCTTTACGCTTGCATCCCCCGTCCGCAGGCCTCCTCCCGTCCCATCTGGCGTGGACCCGTGTCTCCCCAGCCCCGGAGACTACAGCAGCAGGGATGCAGACACACAGGGCTCACTTTGAGTCCCCCGATCCGGCTCGCTTCGATCTCGATGGCTTCCGATTCAGACTCGATTCGACCTGGGACTCCGATTTGGGTTCCGATCTCTCGCTTGACGCGTACAAGCCTGCCGATTTCCGCCGATTCGACCTTTTCCAGCTCGGCTGCCGATTTCCGCCGATCCGATTCATGACGATGGCCGATCCGATTTATCGATGCGAGTTTGGGCTCTCCTGGACACATGCGTGCACATGGGCGGATCATATCGCAGACGTGCGCAGGGCAGCGTCCATGGGAGTCGCAAGTTTGGCAGCCACGTTGCGCCGAGCGATCGATTCGGGGTGGCGCGGCACCACTCCACGAAGTCGCGCAGCGAAGTTTGTAGTTCTCGTGCCTCGATGTGTGCACGTCCCAGGCCGCTTCTCCTCTTCACCCCCCGCCTTTCCCATCGCCCTCCCCCTCCACTTTCTCCTCCGCCTCTGTTCCTATTCCTCTTCCTCCTCCTCCTCCTCCTCCTCCTCCTCCATCGCATCCGCTCTCTTTTTCAGAATACTCATACTCCTTCATTTCACCTCGTTCCTTCATGATTTGGGGTATCTTCTTGTCCGCGTTCCTCTTCGCTTCCTTTTCTTCGTCTTCCAATTTCTCCGCCTCTGTCCCCTCCTCTCCCTCTCTCCTCCCTCCTCTCCTCCTTCCGGCTCTCGATTGGGGGAATATTGGGTTTGCATTCGAGGCTAAGGAGAGACCGTTGTGGTCGCGTCTTGGGCACCTTCCAGCCCTCGTTGGGCCCTCTCGGGTCGTCTTAGGGGCATCGGTGGGCCGTGTTCTACCGCTGGGTCTTCTCAGAGGCCTCCTGGGGCAGTCTTGAGGGCCCCATGGGCGGTTTGGGGCCATCATGTGCTTTCTTGGCCTCCTGGGCCCCTTTGGGCCCTCTTGGGGTCTTCTTGGGAATCGTGGGATGCCTCTTGACACAATGTTGGATTGGTGGCCTTCCTGGGCCATCTTCCAAGCCTTGGACCGATTTGAGTTGCCAGGGGCCTCTCTTGGAGGCTCCCGGGCGGCTGTAGATGTCGTCTTTTCGCCCTTGGTGGGCCTCCTTACGTCTGCAAGTTTCGGCAAGGGCGCCCTGGAGATCTGAGAGGCCTAGCATTGGTCTGGGGGGCAAGGGGTCTGAGGGGTCCAGGTGTCAGGAGGAAGTTGCCGGGCAATCAGAACAGATTGGAGGTTGCACACATGCCATAATGGTTCAAGGGCCGTGTCGTTGAAGATGATGTTTGCTTCTCGGCCGAAGTCACAGTGGGCGACGGACGTCCTAAAAAGCGGGCCTCCCTCCTCCTTTTCTCTCCCGTCCCCAGCCTTTACTTCACCTTCTCCCCCCCAGCATTCTCCGTCTCCCTAGCCTCCTTGTCTCCCTCCCTCCTCCCTCCTCTGTCCCTCCTCCCTCCTCACTCCTTCCTCCCCTTCTCAATACCCTTAGTCTCCCTCCCTTCTCCCTCCTCCCCCCTGTCTCATTCCCCCTCTTCGCCTTTCGGCGCCTCCCTCCTCCTCCCTCATTTGTTGTTCTTACCTCATCTTCGGCCACCTCCTCATCCTCTTACTCTTCCTCGTTGGCGTCGTTGTCCTAATCCTCATCCTCGTTACCCTCCTTTCCTTCCTCGTTCATCTCATTCCCTCCCTGTCCTCCCTCGGAGGAGGGGATGAGGAGGAGAAGGAGAAGGAGGAGGATGAAGAGAAGGGCGCGAGGATGAGAATAGGAGTGAGGCTGGATAGGCATGCCACTTCGGACGGGGTTCGGGGCGATTCCCCTTCACCCTGCGTAGGCTTGAAAGGTTTGGAGGGAGGAGGAGGAGGAGGAGGAGGAGGAGGAGGAGGAGGAGGAGGAGGAGGAGGGCGAGGAGGAGGAGCAGGAGGAGCAGGAGGAGGAGGAGGAGGAGGAGGAGGAGATTTGAGGGGCGATCCGCCTCAGAACTCCCTCCTGCCGCGTCGGCGCTTCTCGGTGCCTGGCCTGGCCGTCCTCCGGCGGCACGCCTGGTGCGCCGGCACAGAGCGCCGGGGCGCGAGAAGCCCAGCGCCGGGTGTCGGAGCAGGGCGGCTGTACAGATGCACTTCGTTCCTCCCCCTTGCCCCCCTTTTCCCAGGAGGGGGGGAGAACGATCCTCTTCCTCCTCCTCCTCCTCCTCCTCCTCCTCCTCCACCTCCTGCTCCTCCTCCTCTCCTCCTCCTCATCTCCTCCTTCTCCCGCGCTTCTCCTCCTCCTCCTCCTTCTCTTCTCTCCTCCTCCTCCTCCTCCTCCTCCTCCTCCTCCTCCTCCTCCTCCTCCTCTCCTTCTCCCCCTCCCCCTCCTCCTCCTCCTCCTCCTCTCCTCCTCCTCCTCCTCCTCCTCCTCCTCCTTCTCGTCCTCCTCGTCCTCATTCTCGTCCTCCTCCTTCCCCCGTCCTCCTCCTCCTCCTCCTCCTCGTCCTCGTCCTCCTCATCCTCGTCCTCCTCCTCCTCATCCTCCTCCTCTTCCTCCGATCGCAGGGAGGGCCTCCCACAGGCTCCCGCTGGGAGGGCCTGGCCGGATCCGCGTCTGGGGGTGCCCCCCTCTCCTGCCCCTTTCCCAGGAAGGGTGGGAACAATGAGAGGAGGAGGGCTGCGGTAGCAGGAAGGTGGTGGAATTGCAGAATTGGTCGATTCTTAAGCTAGCATCCCAGCGCCGCGTGCGGTGCTCGCACAGCGCCTCGTCTTCAGAGGGCACGGCTGCACCAGCCAAGAACACCGAGGCCAAAGGATCCATCGGGAGACTCAGAGGTGGAGGGCCCCACTGGCTGCGTGAGTTACCCCCTGACCACGTTTCAAACTATGTGGACCTATCCCGTGTGCTCGATGCACGGTCTGCCCTCCAGGCTCCAGGGGACCGCTCCGGCTATGACGAAGGGACAACACACACACACACACACACACACACGCTCACATCCATATCCATAGGGGGCGGAGGGGGCTTGTTTGGTTTGTCCAGCTGCCAGAGCTGGCATGCAGGCTCCCTAATCTGTCCCTGTCCTCGAAGAAGAAAAACACGGCATACACATAAACTTTTGGCGCTCCGCGCTGGCGCGCGGAGCGCGCCAGGGGCGGTGCCGGAGGCGCCGCTGGGGCCAGCGCCGATCCGAGAAATCCGCGCGGACCTCCGAGTTTTAATGTTTATGCCATTCTTCGTTCCCCTATCAGAGGTCGCGCGCGAGAGGTTGGCCCGCCTCGGCCACTCCTTGCGCTCGAAGACCGGGCATCGCTCGGACGTGTGCGTTTTCTCTCGGCGAGGACCCTCGAGGACCCGCGCGGCCCCAGGGGGCCTGCCC